GGTTATCGATAGGCAAAATTGCGTTACTAAAACAAAATCGAAACGGTCAAATGAAGAATCGGTTATTTCTGATTTCAGTACAAAGTCTCACTTTTACCATCGATACAGGATCTCGGCCAACAACTAGCATACCAAAACATGTGATTTACCTTGAAAAAGTTATCATAAAATACAGGTATTTTACACCCCTTAAGATAACTCAGAGAACTCAGCCTTACGAACAATATCTTATAATGCTTGTCTAGGCTTTTACAGTGATGCCTGAGACTGCAACATTTGTTCAACAATTGAAGATTCTATTTACCTAAGTCAACAAGTCAATCGAATCAACGCTGGAAGTTAAGCTCGATTCTCCCACGACTTTTCTTGGAGCTCACTTTTCGACGAGCGTCGTTGGGGCTCGAAATGCTTGGCATCATTGACGCAATTTCATTTATTTCTTACATCACCAGCAGATTTTTATCCCGGATACATTTTTTATTTTTGCTGAAATACCAACACATCTTTTCGAGGCTATTCAGGCGCAGCTTCATTTATTCGCATCGCGATGCTGTTGAAGGCTTCACTGCCCGCAGTACCAAATGAACTGCTCTCAAATAAAAGCAAAAGCCTCTCATTCTTTTCAGTGGCAGCGAATGAAACAATCCCCGAGAGTAATTCCCTTCTCTAAAAGTCCCAGTCTAACGAGGAAAAGTTGCCATCGAACAATAATCGCGGAAAAAGATAAGGTCTCGCTGAGAACAGTCATTTTGCATCTTTTATACCGTGAATTAAGTAGGGCCAAGGAGGTTCACGGCTGGGGAGACACCCGGCATATTGAATTTAAAGCAGCGCAAATACACGGAATGAAGTTCATGTTCTCCAGCATTCATACGTCGTATTTTTCAAGGCGTCTTGCTTCTATTTATAGATGTAACGGGACTTCAAATATTTGGGGGATTATTTGCAAGATATAAATAGGCCAATAGGAGCTTCGCGTTCTTAGACTTTGCTAAGTTCTATGATCGATGATTTTTTTAGGAGTCAATTTTAAGTTTTGAGTAAAAGGACACTGAAATATCAAAGAGCTTTTTCTCAATTGGTTGTTAAAATAGCAAAAGTCAAACGTTTATGAAAAACAAAAAGAAGTAATCTATCACAAATCTGATATACAACATGTGGCATTGGAACAAATAACTTCCTGCATTTAGGAGACTTCTATTAAATGATATTGTGATGCCATAATAAACATATATTTGTCAGTATTTTTAACTTTGAAAAGTTATACGAACAAAATTTCTGAAAAAGTATAAACGATAACTTCAGTTCATTTCTGCAATTATCAATAGAATAATTATTTTATATACAATATGAGCTCTAGTTACAGTTAAAAACTTATGACAACAACATCGTTGATCTTGACTTTGACGAAATTTTAAAAATGCATTCCTTATCAAAGCCTTGGATTACACAGGATCTCACCTACCAAAATAATTCGATTTTCGAACATGTAACAATTTTATGGGGATGAATTCTAGACTCACGAGTGTCATAAAACCGAAGCTGGACAAGTTCTGTAGCCACACACATCACAAATTTCGGGCACCATGATGGAGCACAAGGACTGCCGGCGGCCGGCTCGGCGCCGAGCTTTATGGCAGACGAGACTGCCAGGGGCCAGCGCGCTGGAGTCTGGACCTCGACAATGGAATGGCTGACTTAAATTTTCCCGTACTGGAGAGCCAGCCGGAATGGTATTTCCAGGTAAGTATATTATTTCAAGATCGTCACGGTATTTTCAGGCCGGTATGGTTTTCCAGGCCGGTATGGTTTTCCAGGCCGTTATGGTATTTCCAGGACGGTATGGTATTTCCAGGACGGTATATTATTTCAAGGTCGTCATGGTATTTCCAGGACTGTATGGTATTTCCACGCTGGTATGGTATTTCCAGGACGGTATGGTATTTCCACTCTGGTATGGTATTTCCAGGACGGTATTGTATTTCAACGCTGGTATGGTATTTCCAGGCCGGCAAATAGTATTTCCAGTGACATGTTGCGGGATATTTTCTTTGTGGCTCACACGACTAGAAGAAAAGTTGCAAAAATCATCTGATTGAGTAACAATAAATGATTTTTGCTTAGCTTTGTAGATGAAGATTTTCATTTTAAATGTGATGACTTAGTACATGAATTACACATAAGATGAGAAGAAAGGTTCAAATTTTATAATTGAATATCATAAGCTCAACCAACAAATGCACGTATTTCAGTTTAAATTATTGAGAAAGAAGTCCTCTTCGTGATCGAATTAATTATTTCTAAGCAATTGTTTCTCCTACAAATTTAACAATACAATTTTGATGTATAATTGTTACTAATTTCACTGCCTCAGGTAAAAGAGAACCAGGTTTTAGAATTAATCGAAGAATGTTTTACTTGACAGAAATTCTCATGTCCATTCCAGAGATTCTTTGTGTATTCTCTCTCTTCCTTACACTCGCCAAATCATATCTCTTCCATTAGTTCCTCGACAGTGCCGGAAAAGTCATATCAGATCTCGACCTCGGTTTCAGAAGTCTGGCCTGGCAGACTGCGGCCCAATTTAAGCCATCCTGACGTCCTAATGCGTCGTCTATAACTCACGACTAAAGCATTTTCCTGTATCTGGGTCGCGATGTTTAGGAAAAGCACAACCAGGTGCACGCACATGAGTCATCGGCACAGTATCGTCAGCGTTACTAACATGAAACAACAGCTTTAAATAATAGCTTGAAACACTAGCATGAAACAAAACCCTTTAAACAACAGCTTGAAACACTAACATGAAACAACACTTTGAAAGATTAACATGAAACAACAGCTTTAAACAATAGCTTGTGACACTAGCATGAAACTCAAATTTGACGGTCCGTCGCTGCGGAGATGCCACTCCATCGCGATCAATGTTCTCTTTGCGGCCACCGCCTCGCAGGTGCACGTAAACTGCACAAGAAACAGCATATAAAGAAATATACACGTTTCATGGAGTATAAACAACGCAAATATAATACATATATGCATTATATAATATGCATATGCAATCACACCTAATAGTTATATTATATACAACGCATATATAATACCACGTTCTTTATATTAATATGAAGAACGCAGCTAATGAGTGTAGGTGAGCAGATGCAGAATTTAAGCAAATAAATTGAAAAGCACAAACAAACGAAACTTCGGAGTGTGGTGGAAAACAGCAGCAGAATATAAACAAATTAAATGCCAGGTGAAAAAACGAAATTCAAAAGTATGGTTGAGCAGATGCAGGAGTAGCAGGCAGCCAAGTCCGCCACCACCTACACACTCGCCTACCAGCAGGCAGCCAAGTCCGCCACCACCTACACACTCGTCTACCAGCAGGCAGCCAAGTCCGCCACCACCCACACAGTCGTCTACCAACAGGCAGCTAAGACCGTCCCCACATGCACGAAAACGATGCTCGGGTCCGCCGCGTTTAAAGATACATTGGCGTGCCCATGCAAGGTCCTCTTTAAAGGCCGCGTTGGAGGAGGCGGGCTGTCGTGGACAAACCACCCTAAAAAGTCCTCGCCCCCCAAAATCCTGGCCCCCGTTGCCCTGTCCTCGCGCACCTAAAACGCTTATTGCCTTTTGCTCCTCTCGTGGTGTCTCTTGAACGAAGGGCCTCAAGTTTTTTCTGACCGAGCTTTTCTATGATAAAAATTGCCATCGTACAGACTTGAGGAATTAAGCTCCGCACGATACGTCAAATTGACTTCATAGCCTTAGCATCAAATTTGCTATTTTTATTTGATACTTTTATCTATTGGAACTAACGATAGGGGAGCTCGCTTAAGATTCCTTATTGATACTAAGTGTAAAACAATATTGTTGCTGAGTAATGCTCTATTTATTTGTTTAGTAATTGTTCATGGGCATTAATTTTGAAATGGTTAATGAAGATTCGTAACTTTAGGAGAACCGAGTGTTGAGTGTAAGAATGCTATAAATTTTTTATACCAAAAACATTAACTTATTAAGACACATACAAATATGGCCGTTGAATAATAAGCCATTCCAGCGTCTACTTTCGAGTCTAAACTTGATTATCGAAATCTTTTATTATTGTGCTCTGAAATATTGCATCGAGCACTCTACCTCCAGAAAAAACAGAGACTGTCCATTTATCTCAAGCCTTCACAGGTCGTGTCTACGTGAGGCCACTTTCTCGCCTCTTTCTATGGCAGCGAAAATATTTGAAATGGTAAACAGCCTATAAAAAGGGGATTCTCGCAACCTTCATTTAAATAGGCATCGCATTTGTGATGGAATCTCTGTTTTTAAACGTTTGGTGTGCAACCTCGTCTCCCAAGAAGGAACATTTGCATGTCTATAAGCCTGTGGCAATTCATGGGTCATCTTTCAAGCCACCATTTCTGAATGGATTACATTGAATTTTATTTGCTTTGCAAAACCTATTGTGCGCGTAAAATGTATGGCCGAAAGTGATCGCTTAAAAATTACGTCAGTCATTCGTGATGACTGACATACTGTATTATAATACCCATACTTTATGGTACTCTTCTGCACTCTTCTGTGTCACAGGAACTCTAAATACTGAGATGTCATTCTTGTAACAAATAAAAGTTGGCACTCGCACGATCAGACAAAGTGCGATATCCGATTACGTGGTACGGTCCTAAGCAATAAAATCTGGAGGTAGTTCCTCCTGTCGTGGCTTTGCAGTCTGAAACTTTTGCCCGGTGCCTTTACTTGAGATTATAGCTGCGTTGAGGCACTAAAGCTGCCAACGGGCCTGAGTCTAAGGTATGTTCCTAGCTAACGAAATTATATATAGCACACCCAAAATGAGCCAAAAATACAACGTATGGTCGGTATCAGACATTTCTTCCTGGAAATTCGTATCAGCCCTTGCATGAATTTAAATTGCAGTAGATATATTTACTTCGTGAAATAGTTCAAGTACATCCGTTCCTTCTAAAACTTCCGATACTTCAAGCTGTAGTAGTGAACGAGTAATACGCATTGGAATGAGAAAAAGAAGTTTGTTGTTATTGATCGCTCAGTAGAACCCACACTATTTTACCTGTATCATTTCATCTTTTAAATCGGAGCAACTCAATCAAAAAGTATTTTGTATTTAAAATTAAAGTATACCCAGGGGAAGAACTAAATTATTTTACAAAGCCTTAAAAACTATTTAAGGTTAGGAGACACAAATGAAGTGAAAAGTTTTAAAAACTTAATTGAAAAAATTTTGTTTCTTACCTCGAATAATTCTTGACCTTGTGTCCCCATGGATGTAGGAAAACTTGCCGCCGCATACTCGCAGGGATGTCGGAGAGAAGCCATCATCTTCAACGCCATCGCCACGAAAGAGCCTTCTCGTGGAGTGTCCTTCATCGACGCCTTCATCACGAAGTAGACTTCTCGTGGAATGTCCCTCATCGGCGCCTTCATCACGAAACAGACTGCTCGTGGAGTGTTTAGTTTTTGAAGGGAATGGTGGACTCCATAAGACCCTTGACTTCGACGAAGAACGATCTCCACCAGAATCTTCGCCGTGTGGTGACCTCCGCCTAGAGAAATAACCAAGGTCTCGAATGTCGTTTTTTGCCGCGTGAGTGTTCACGGAAGGCCGCAACCGATCGTCGAGAGCAGCAAAACCACCACTAGCGGCGCGTGAGTCAGGAAACGTGGAACTCTCGGAGGTCAGCGGGGTATTTCGGTTGAATGTCGGCGCAATCTTTGAACGCTCGTCTGTGGCCAAAATGGGAGATGAATTGGTTTGCGTGCGGCTTGTGAATTCGAGATAAATTCTTTGCAGCAGCATGGCAAGTTCTGAATTTCCTGCTGAATTTTTGTTATCGGGTGAATTTTTTGTTTCTTCGTTAGTGATAGGAACTGTTGCACGATTGTGCATGCTTTCATGAGCAGCATGTGGGCTTTCACTATGAACATTTTGGGTCCCTGGAAAAACAGAACGATTTGCTGCAAAGACTTCTGGACCAGCATTTAAAACTTCGGTACTATCATGAGCAACTCCATTACTGCGAGGGAAATCGTGTGAACTTTGAAGGAGTGTGGAGACTGGCACCAGGACGGCAGGAAGCTCCAGGAAGTCCCTGGAGCAAGGTCTTGAGCCAACTCCAGCCCTGATAAGATAAGGAATCTCGAAAAAAGTTATTTCATAATAACTTCAGAAGTTAACTTGGTCATGAGAGAAAGTTAGTTCACAATGCAATAAAGGTGCCATAAGAGAGCAATTCCGAACATACGTTTGTCAGGTACAAAATATTTGGTCATCATATTTCAGTATACGAAAATATTTCATTATTTACAAAATAATGCTCGTAATTAACTCGTAAATTTTTATCTTCTTTCTTTTGGCAGAGTCGTTAAAAGTACCCAAGTTTACAGTTACGAGTTCAATGAAGAAACTCAAAATATCAATTGTTTGGTCCTATGTTACGATGTATGGATAATTTTCGATGCCATATTGAGGGGAGTTTAGCCTTATCATATGAACCAGAGTTTCGTTTTTCCGGAATTTTCGACGTGTATGTATAGAAACGTTGCTCGTGTCAGTTCACTTTAAAATGCAAAGATGAACCATTCGTCGAAGATACCAAACGTCTAACAATTCATGCGGCAATAAGATAACTCTTTTCTTGACCCCAATAATAATTAATTAACAACTAATAACTGGGACAGTTTAACAATCGACAAAATAACTATTCAAATTCATACCTTCATTTCCACTCAAATAAAGTTTTCATTATGTATATTAATTTTGATTAATTGACAACTAAGAACTTGGAAAGTTTAACAACCGACAAATTAACTATTCAAATTCATACCTTCATTTCCACTCAAATATATTCAGTATATTAATTTTGATAGCGGACTATATCATCCAAAAGTTCCACTACAATCGCTGCTCAGTACAATCCTGCACGTAACTCTGATTGCAAACGCAAAAAGTTCGCGAGTTACAGCCTAGAGCGACATCTCCGCTGCATCGGACTGTAAGACTATCGTCTAAACCTGGAACATGGACGATTCTGGACGCCTGAAATGAAAGCCGCGCACAAGTTTTCCTCATTGACATGGTTCCGAAGTTAAACGATGGCTGAAAGGTCAAGGCCTCCTTCGACGCCATATAATCGTGAATGGAATAACCCGGGCTAAGTTATCGAAGCTGCTGGAATTCATGGGTATAAAACTCGGACCCATTTCGTGTCTGGAGACGGCAGTTTTAGGTGCCCCGAGCCGTGAAATATTAGAAGCGAATTCCGCAAACGTAACTTACAAGTCGAGGAAAAATCCAACGTTGCTAATTTTACGAGACGATTTCTAATACTATGTTAAGGTACCGCTTAATTCGATGGCGTGTAAAAATTATACTCATGCAGTGAGCGCGTTAGTTTTTCCTCGTGATGTTAAGAGAAGCGTTTAGAAAATGCATTACTTTCGAAGAGCAATATGCGTCCAACAGTAGCTTTAAAGGTTATGTTAGAAATTTCTCAAAATTTACACAAGACGAAGACTGAAAAAACTTTTTCGTTAACATCATCTAATTTCACAGGCATTCTCTTGCTTTGTAAAGTTATATATAAAATTTTCTTGACGTAATCCCTTGCTATAATATTCAAGTTCTGCAACAATTCTGTAAATTTCAATAAATCTTCATATTATTTTTCTAATGCCGTTTCGAAGGAAAGAAAAAAGGGTGTTTCGAAAAAGTTTTGTCCCTCCACATAAAGTTTTTCGGTCAACCCTCGACATCAAACCCTCGTAACGATTCTTAGATCCACTTCCATAAAATATCGAATGCTCCAAATACTTTGTCCCCGAATTTCAAAGTAGCTCGGGAGCCAATTTTAAAACTGCATGAACATCAGACCAGACATCTGAATTTCTTTTGCTCATTTAGAATACAAAGCACTATGATGGATCCTCAAAATAAAAGGATTTGGATTGTATCTATAGTCACAAGATCCTCTAAAAAGGGATTGGATTGAATCTATAGCCATGGACCTGTACTTTTTTAAGAAGAAACCGTTAAATGATTTCACAAAAATAGGATCGCCTGACAAATACATGAACAAATTTCTTTCGTTAGTTTGCAAGATGAGTTTAGAAGTGCATTTCTAGCCCACCCAATTCAGCATTTCCTTGCTACTTCGCGAGCTGAAATTAAGGCAAGGCGACGTGATGGATGCTACCTTGACATCATGAGATGGAAAACATACAAGGAAAGATAGAGCATCACAATGGAAGCAGATTGCTTATATACGGAGCATTCCAGTTGCTATACAGGGACGTTAGCAGGTGGTATATAGTTAGGGCAACATGGGGGCAAAGGGACCACTGCGGGCCATGGGCCCATAGCGTGTTTCCCGCTAAGTATGTCAGATATTGGTCCGTGCGCTCTACCGCCGGTCGACTGTTTCACTGGGATGAAATGTTCGTCTCTACGTTTTGCGAAGAGTTTGCGTTCTTAAGTTACTTGCAAATAACTGTTTTAGCTCAGATAAAAGTTTTTTTACTGCTAAAAACTGTTTTCGATTACTCTACATGAAGCCTTTGAAAGAACTGATAATTATATTTCGACAGTTTTATTTATAGGGATAATTTTGAGTTCAAGTTTAGACTGTTAGCTTTTAAAACAAAATGTTCACACGTTATAAATTGAAATGATACTTGGGGCAATGAGCCCAGAGTGTCACGGGGCAAATCGCCCATGGTGAGCTCATTATCCCACGGTAAAGTCTTGTGTTGTACATCATTAGATTTGACTCAATGAGCTCCTCAAAACTATGACTAGCTCTTTGAATTACAAATTACACATCATGTTATATGATTTTTTTATTTACAACATTATGCGCAACTATAGAGGAAGACCAATGTAGCCAACTATTCTCAAACTTAACTTTAGAATGTCTTGGAGGAAATTAGGAATGACGAATTACCAAGTGCTAAAATTGCCAAGTAAGCGTTGCGTCGGCACAAAAACGGCAAGATGAAGCAACCTGAAGTTCTTTGTTTGTAAAGTATTGTTTTATCATGTTTAACAAAAATTATGAAATTGGGGTAATGGGACCAGGTGTGGGTGCCTTGCCCAAAGCCCATGGTCTCATTGCCCCAGTGGTGAGGCAATGGACCTATTTTGACACTTTTTACAAAATTGTATTTCATTAATAATTGAATAACTCTATATGCGTGTAATTCACATCATACATTCCTCAAAATATAACTCAGTACTCACTGCAGTGAGTGACAGAGAGCGCATTTTCTTGTCAACGAAAACGTGAAGTCACGGACAGACGGACAGACAGACGGACATGACGAGCACAATAGAGCATTTTTCCATAAATGAGAAAATGCGCTAAAAAGGGGTAGGCCGCTGCCCCATGTTACCCTATAATTAAGACGAAATGATACGAGTGATATTCCGTTTACATATTCAGTTCCATTATTATATTTCATTCATAAATCCATTTCTAAATTTCGAGGTATAAATTGATTGAACACAATCACCAAAGTTGCCAAAAATTGTATACCTCATGAAAATATAACATCATTTTTGGGTTCAGATTACCCTTAAGAGTGAATATTTTGTAGTATAACATAAACAACTACATTATATATTTCCAAAACTGTGCTATACACTACCAAATGGAATGTAAGCAGGTTGAGCTATATCAGTACAAAATGCGGGTAGCCAATATTAAATATGTCCTATGCCCTCTACTGGCGCTTCAAGTCTGCAAACTTTACTAATAAAAAATCTTAGGAAAGTAAATTTACATAATGGATTTACCATTAATATCATTCATGATAACAGCAATAAGATGTGGTACACTAAATATAATAACACTTGATGCATTGTAAGAAAGTGTCAGCTAGGGACGTCCAAATGGTTCAAATTTGGTAAATTTTTTTTTCACTCATATCAGTCGGCAGTCCGACAAGAAGACTCTGCAGATATTAAACTTCGGGGAGTTAGAGACCCAGAAACTCGCAACACATGAGTTCTTGGGTGGCCATCACTGCAGTTTCTTCCTCCTAGACAATGAATTGTGGAGGAAGTTTCAACATTAAACTTTGTCCGCTCAGCATGTTTGTGCATGCTGAATGTCGCTTTTCACTCCGAGGAATGATGGAAGACTTGGAATAGATGCGAATAAATAGCGAAAATTCGAGCAATGATTCAATGCATTATTTTCACGTAGCACGAAGATTTCATGGCCATGATAAGATAAATAATGTGTGCATTCAACAATGATCGTTACTTGTAGCCAAAGTCTAACATTACAGCAGAAAGACTGTGAGAGTGTGCTTAACTATGAATTACACGTATGTCCAATGTCAAGACTAGTGTTTGCAATACGGCTGAGTCAGTCACCATTGAAGGAAGCGTCACTCATCAGTGGGAGATAAATTTTCGAACATGTGCTAAGACTCGAGTGTTTGCAATACGGCTGCGTCAGTCACCATTGAAGGAAGCGTCACTCATCAGTGAGAAATAAATTTTCGAACATGTGCTAAGACTCGAGTGTTTGCAACACGGCTGCGTCAGTCACCATTGAAGGAAACGTCACTCATCAGTGAGAGATAAATTTTCGAACATGTGCTAAGACTCGAGCGTTTGCAATACGGCTGAGTCAGTCACCATTGAAGGAAGCGTCACTCATCAGTGAGAGATAAATTTTCGAACACTTGTTAAGACTCGATTGTTTGCAATACGGCTGAGTCAGCTACCATTGAACTTATGAAGAAGATGTTTGTCACTCACTCATCGGTTTGTGACAGATTTTTGAATATGTATTGCATTGCACATATGTCCGTATCAGCAGTAGAGTTTACGCAACCTATGGTTTACATGGCACGTAGGGTGATGCCCATATGAGACGGAGCTGAGATCTCGAGGAACTCTCGCTGCTAACGAGCCAACCTGATTACGAAGCAAATTAGTCTGATGAGCGTCTGCCTTATCACGTCACGTCGGATACGACTAAATTGGTCCGGAAAGTCTGAAGAATGTGGATAAGAATAAGAGGCAAGAAAATATTTCATATAGACAGGGATTGTGTTTCTAAAATTGTATAAAAAAATAATTTTTATTGTGGAGCACATGTTAGGGGCGGGATGTGAAATGGAAAAATTTTGTATTGCGACAAACTATCAGACTAATATAAACGATAGTCTTTATTTCTCGAAAAAATGTGTTGTGTTGTAATGAGTAAAGTTATCACGAGTTAGAAAATTATCGAAGAGTTGATCCGGAAAGATTCGCGTATTCATACAATTTCTTGCCACCTCCGGGATTCGTGAAATCTTTTTGTTGTACTTGACTTTATTTGTTCTTGTACACTTATTGGGAGATTACCTGCTTCAGTGTGGGAGAGAAATATTTAAATGCATAATAAATTAATCAAAACAATTATCACTTCGTAATATAACCCCAAAAATTTCCTTTTGGGCGCATTTCTCAAGCTAAATGTTGACTAAATTAAAATAATGGCTGCGAACGCGATACATTAAGAGCACAGCCTTGAACGAAATTATTTTCGAGAGAAATAATTCATAGAGACGCTTCAAGGCTGTCTCTAAATAACGATTGCTATATATTCTATACAATATTCGATAGTATATACTCAATTGCTGTATAATTGTAATTGTAGGGATCTTGGCAGAATTTTGTCGATTTTTAACACAATTTAATGATGAAAAAGATCAGAGTAACCGACGTGTTGAATTTAGATTTAAGCGAGCGGGTTGACGATCCCGTAGCAGTATGCGAATTCTATATGTGGACTTGCTTGGGTTACGTGCAAGAATTTGTGTGTGTAATTCAATAACTGCTGAGTTACGGAGACTGTTCTAGTGTCGTGTTTATATTTTACGGTGTCTGTTACTGTATTTACCATCACGTGTTTACTAGGGATGCATTATTATTGTGTTTGTTGATATTTAAGGCTTAATTTCATTTTGATTTAGGTGTGAAGTAATTTATGTAATTGAATGTAAATTAGACTTTGTTCTTTGTAGAAGTCACCCTAAAACAAGCCGATACCTGCGTCTTGCCGCTCCTGTGCTCTAATTAACTCTAATCTAGTATATACTTTTGTTTGCCAGCATTATTTATATAATTGTTTCTGAAAGCAATTTTTATTTGGACATTGGCACGCAAGATCATTACATGATTCTAAATTTTCATCCAAGCATCACTACAAAACTTTTTCTTTATTGTTATATTCCTAAACTTTTATTCTATGGAGATAAGGAAATTCATCAGCAGTACGTGCATATGAGGATTTTAATTGGTTCTTGCATACAGACCTTCGAGCGTATTTTTCAAAGCCAAATTGTTGTTTCAAGTATGCAAACTAATTAAAGCCTTGGAATTGCTGCTTGGTCGCGGTACTCATAAACTTTATATGACTTATTCAACTTTTAGAGTTAATGATTCGTCAACCGTTTGACAAATAATTTTTCCACGACTTAAATTGTATCACAAAAGTGGTGGTCCGTTACCTGCACGTGGGAGCAGCCGTGAAATTATTATTTGTAGCGTGAAATTATTTTCCAATAAAGCAGATCAGTAATCTCGGAGATCAACTCGTTGCATTTGTAACTAATTAACAGGTAATTTAAAAAAAATTAACAGGTCGTTCAGACAAAAAATGCACACGTGCAGCTTATTCAACAATTCACACGGTACTGTAGCAGCTGGATATAATTACTGGACGACACCTATGTATATCGCTGAATAAAAACGAATCGCATTAATTGTTCCAAAAACATATAAAAATTAAATCTTACGTTCTTATTGGAAACAGAAAAAAATCTGAGTTCTCGGTGAAAACCTTTGCCCATGCAAAATATATTCAAATGTATCCCACTAAAGCAGCTTTTACCATGAATATGTATAAAACAACCCCGACTTCGCACCAAACTCATATTTGGTGCAAAGGAAAGCCATTGCAATTTCCCTGTTCCGTTCCAAAGGCAGAACAATGCTCTAGCAAACGCCTGATCGCCACCCTTTTCATCACTTGAATAAAACAACGCAATGTGCAGTGGAGCGTAAAGCTAAAACAATGAAACCCTATACGTGCTAACTGCTCGATGTTTGTGTAGGTTTTCTAGCTGGCTTGAAACCAGAGAATTATTATCGCTGGCAGAATATTCCTAAAATTTTAGTGATGATGACAATATGCAAATATTTTTTCTTAGTGATTCTTTCACGATAATAAAATTTAAATATATGATTCATGCATGGATATCTTATTTGCTTTACTCACTTTACTTTTATGCATTATTCATTTCATGTTACGCAACCAGAAACGGTTTAATCATATTTCATTGTGTCTTCGGGCTCTGATCACGACCAAAGAAGACGGTAATTCCTGCCTGAAATCATTTAACTGCATGTAGTTATAAAATTGCCTCTAATATTCATTGATTATTCACAAAACATTTTGCGCAGCTATGCCTCGCATATAATAGACAGCAAATGCTGGTCAATTTAATTTAAACTTAAGCTATCAACTGCTATCCCGTCTTAGGATTCAATCTAACTCCCATCGCTGCTAGAATTCTTCCCATCTCCTCTAAGGGAAGTTAACGCAGGCGATGAATTGTCTGAAATTTTACAGGATTTTTGTTCCTTGAACGACTTGACTTGTGCCCGAAGTTGGCAGCGGTACAGTGGCCTTGAGAACTTTGTAACTTACCTGTCGGCTGGAACGCGCCTCGAATTAAGTTTTTGAAGTCCGAAAGTTCGAACTTGGGGCGACTTGGAACCTCGAGTTGCGAGGGCGACACGAGAGGGTCGAACAGAATCGTGAGGCTGGCCGGACATAAAAAATGCAGCGTCTTTTTCTGGAGCGGCCGAGTCTTCAATAATTACGCCAGGTCGTGACGGAAGTGATTCACTTGACAACTTGAAGGATGAATCTTGATATTCAATTCTGCTAGACGATGAAACTGAACCGTCGTCTAATATTTCCATTTGTCCTTTATCTTGAAAATATTCAGGTATTGTAGAGAATGGATTTTGAGTCATTGTGCGCTGCAATGAAACGGTGCTGTAGCCCTGGCCATCAGAGGAAAAATCACGAAAACTATCAAAATTCGCGGGGCCGGTGTAATTTACAGAACCAAATGTATCGGCAGAAGCAATAATATTGAACGGACCAACAATATTGAAAGGATTGTTGGCAAGAGTTTCGTCTGTGGTGGACAACTCGAGTACGGTGCTGTTGACGGGCTTTCGGATGCAGATGTCGTAGTTTAAATCGTTCAAGTACTCGCCGTTGTGGAAGTTGAAACTCTCTAGAACTCCTTGATGGCTGAGATGATACTGAAGGCAACCACGCGGAGCTGCAATGAAAAATCTGAACTTAATTTTTTCAACGAAGGTTCACTCTTGTAGTCTACACTTCAATAATGAGAAAAGCTGATAGAGAATAATTTAACGTATTTCTAGGTTGTACATTTATTTCTGTTGACCCGTATACGCTTTGTAATAATTCACCAATACAAATTTGCTTAAACTAAAAAAATTAATGGAAATTTGATTCAAAGTTGGGATATGACGAATTGATATAACATTTGAAACACGGGTTAATTGTTTCTGCAAAAATTTTTAATTAGAATTTATTAGTGGTTGTTATATTTCGAGGAGAAAAATGTCAACGCACATAATAAAGGTGGTCAAATTTATCCATATGAAGTTAATGTTTTCAAATAGTCGTAACTTTTAATATTAATTTGCTATTTTTCTCATCTCCTTCAACATACTTTCATACTAGATAATTATTTTTCTATTTTTGTATTTGAATACTGATAGCAAGATAAATCTTCGATTTACGAATGTTTGAAAGTATAAGCTCAAATTATATTTGAAAATTTAATGTTCTAAAGCAGATTTGTTTCTAGTGTAATTGACAAAGACTTTCAAAATCGTATGAACCTATCAAATCTAGAAAAAATATCCGCTTCTCGGAATGTCAAAACATCTCGAGTACAAACATCAATCGATTTTTATAACCCGTGCCAGAGATGCTTGTTCTTTATCTTAGTGTTTTCAAGGAAACATGAAAGGGAGTGAGGATGTTCTAACGAGCACCCAAGCCTTGCACAGCTGCACGAAATAAAATCATGGAAGTCTTACGGGTTCAATTCAGGACCCTTTTGAAGTGGATTGAGAATAGGGAGCCTTGAGTTGGTTTAGGGCCAGGATTATAGAGATTTTCTTTTGTATTCTTCCATTCGATAAAAAAATTTTCGAATTTAATGCCTGATATCAAAAAGATTATCTTATATGATTCGAATTAGAGAATCCATGGTACCGAAATGCGAAAAAAAGAAGTGGGCGAGATGCCTTGGATGAATTGGCGTTCCCTATGAACTTGTGAAATGCGTGGGAATTTCACATACGATGAGATGCATTCTATAGATATCTCCTCCAATTGCGTATTTACATCATGCAAGCATCCATATTTCTAACGGTAGATTTGAGAACATAATCCCACCTGAAGGTAACATTTGTTCAATTATTGAGCCTTTACTAGCTGCATGTAGCTTAATTATCACTCAGCATGCAATGGGGTTTGAACAAAGACTGAACCGTTCTAAGAGTGTGAACTTCTATGGGCTGGCTGTTCATTGAGTTTGCAAAAATTTGAAGTGTTTTACACTTCAAATCCATCAACTTACCATACAGAGGATTATAAAAATAAATTCGAATATTTCGTTACCAACGAATGTTAGGAAGTTTTTAAACATGAATGCATCAAACTAACCTCTCAAGACTGAGAGCGCAAGCCGCAAAACTTCTTCTTGGCTGAAAAAGGCGGCCCTGTTACTCCAGAGTCTCTGCAGTCCATCATCCCAATATTGTCGTGGCTGGAACCGTGGTTTCCGGGAGGGCTTCATCTTGAGGTCTATCAATTTCTCTGGTTTTGAGAAATCAGACGGCTTCGTCATCCTTGCCTTCCGGGTCGTGTTGTCGCTGTACTGAAACAGAGACTGGAACATTGCTGTGCTATTTACTTCTTTATCTTTCAACAGCATATTTCCGACACTGATCTTCGCCAAATCAATATCTCCTTCCTGGCGGTATTCATGTGAATCCGCTCGATTTAAAGTATAAGGTTCTTTTATAGAAGGAAAACCATCAACGGATCGTTTGTTCTTCGAATATTTCAATGGTGAATCTTCAACCCCGACTCGGTGTGGATGCCCATGGAACATTTTCGTGTGCGTTAATTTTTGATGGGAGGTATCCTCGAGGCAAGGCACTTGAGTGAGCCACAAGCCAAAGCGATAAGGCAACTCTGCTGCCGCAGTTTCAACGACAAATTTGACGGTCCGTCGCTGCGGAGATGCCACTCCATCGCGATCAATGTTCTCTTTGCGGCCACCGCCTCGCAGGTGCACGTAAACTGCACAAACAACAGCATATAAAGAAATATAAGACGTTTCATGAAGTATAAACAACGCAAATATAATGCATATATGCTGTAAAGAATTTTACGGAACATACTTCTCCCGTGTACATATAAGGTTGGGACCTTTTAGGTAGGACCGAGTTGATGAGCTCAGACAAAATTCAGTTTTAACCAAACTTGCCCTAGATTGTTCAGCAATTTGGTACGTGAGCATTTACTTATGTTATTATCATTTTACTGCTTGTTAACCTCAACTATTTTCTCTATATTGTTTATAATTTCGAATAACCTCAACTTCGTGTTCAAATTATTCATTCTCTATTTTCAGAAACCGCTACAATCTACAACGAGTTTTCATTCTGAACAATCCCCCCGAACAAAGAGCCATATTCTTTACAAATGCATTATATAGTATGCATATGCAATCATACACAATACTTATATTATATACAACGCATATATAATACCACGTTGTTTAGATTAATATGAAGAACGCAGCTAAAAAGTGTAGGTGAGCAGATGCAGAATATAAGCAAATCAATTGAAAAGTACAAAAAAAATTTCGGAGTGTGGTGGAAAACAGCAGCAGAATATAAACAAATTAAATGCCAGGTGTAGCTTTAAACAATAGCTTGAAACACTAACCAGAAACAATAGCTTGACACACTAACATGAAACAACACTTTGAAAGATTAACATGAAACAACAGCTTTAAACAATAGCTTGAAACACTAGCAAAAAACACTAACATGAAATAACGTCTTGAAATACTAGCATGAAAACAATAGCTTGAAAAACTAACTTGAAGCAACAGCTTGAACCGCTAACATGAAACAACAGATTGAAAGACGAACATGAAATGCTAACATCAAACACTAACATTAAACACTGACATATTTTCACTCTTCAAGAGGAATACTGAATGATTTCATCATTTCCATATTTTATTGTTCATAGGCTTTTGGTACACGTATAATATTTCGACATAATATGTTAAACCTTTTCCACAAAGTGCATATATATCGAAAATGTTTCAAATAAGGCGTTTGGAACAAATTACTTCAAGGATACGTACATATTTACAGTATGTTTTATATGTATGATCGAGTGATTCTCTATCTATGATTCTCACAAAATCGAGTGATTCTCTATCGACGTTACTGATAGAAATATTCCTACCGCACAGGCAAATGACGTTGAAATAACGTTTATTACACGTTGGTTAACAGAATTAATTCGTAATTAACGTTGTTTCAATAAAATTAACTCGTTATCAATAGCTGTTCAATAAATTAACTCATAATCAACGTTGTTTTAATTAAATTTGCTCGTAATCAACGTAGGTTCATCGAAATTAACTAGTAACCAACGTTGTTTCATCGAAATTAATTATCGAGAAGTTATCTAGGTTATCGATAGGCAAAATTGCGTTACTAAAACAAAATCGAAACGATCGAATGAAGAATCGGTTATTTCTGATTTCAGTAAAAAGTCTCACTTTTACCTGCGATACAGGATCTCGGCCAACAACTAGCATACCAAAACGTATGATTTACCTTGAAAAAGTTGTCATAAAAATACAGGCATTTTACACCGTCACGATAACTCAGAGAACTCAGCCTATCGAACAATATCTTATAATGCTTGTATGGGCTTTTACAGTGGTGCCTGAGACTGCAACATTTGCTCAACAATTGAAGATTCTATTTACCTAAGTCAACAAGTCAATCGAATCAACGCTGGAAGTTAAGCTCGATTCTCCCACGACTTTTCTTGGAGCTCACTTTTCGACGAGCGTCGTTGAGGCTCGAAATGCTTGGCATCATTGACGCAATTTCATTTATTTCTTACATCACCAGCAGATTTTTATCCCGGATACATTTTTTATTTTTGCTGAAATACCAACACATCTTTTCGAGGCCATTCAGGCGCAGCTTCATTTATTCGCATCGCGATGCTGTTGAAGGCTTCACCGCCCGCAGTACCAAATGAACTGCTCTCAAATAAAAGCAAAAGCCTCTCATTCTTTTCAGTGGCAGCGAATGAAACAATCCCCGAGAGTAATTCCCTTCTCTAAAAGTCCCAGTCTAACGAGGAAAAGTTGCCATCGAACAATAATCGCGGAAAAAGATAAGGTCTCGCTGAGAACAGTCATTTTGCATCTTTTATACCGTGAATTAAGTAGGGCCAAGGAGGTTCACGGCTGGGGAGACACCCGGTATGTTGAATTTAAAGCAGCGCAAATACACGGAATGAAGTTCATGTTCTCCAGCATTCATACGTCGTATTTTTCAAGGCGTCTTGCTTCTATTTATAGATGTAACGGGACTTCAAATATTTGGGGGATTATTTGCAAGATATAAATAGGCCAATAGGAGCTTCGCGTTCTTGGACTTTGAAAAGTTCTATGATCGGTAATTTTTTTAGGAGTCAATTTTAAGTTTTGAGTAAAAGGACACTGAAATATCAAAGAGCTTTTTCTCAATTGGTTGTTAAAATAGCAAAAGTCAAACGTTTATGAAAAACAAAAAGAAGTAAT